TTAACATTAATGTTTTGTAATAAAATTCTTATTTCAATACTATTAATAGTTATGATTTATGAATTAGTTCAAATATGTTACAGTCACAAACAGCTATGATGAAATGGAATTGTTTTCATTAAAAAGTTTAATACTTGGAAAAAAAAAAGAAAGTAATAACCAAAATCAATTTTTCCATTTACTGAATTTCAAAGATGGAGACTATATATTTTATTGGAAAAATATAGCATTTTATTTTTTAATCACATAAATTATATACTATTAGATGATTATCTATTGTCTGGAGATAAATAATGGAAAAATAATTTAAAAATTAAATTATATCAAAATAGTCCCATATAATATGTATTAAGAATATAACCACTACATTTCCTGTATGCCTCATAATGATGTGATATTTCCAAATTAACAGCAACATAGACTATTTGTTATAAAAGAAATATCATTTCATGAAGAAATCATGAAATTAGCCAGAAAAGATTTTTTTTGTTTAAATCTATTCATCAAAAAACAATAAAATAAAATAATACTCAACTAGCACCATTGAAGTTAATTACAAACATTAGCTATTGTTTAGAAAAACAGTAAACTTTGTTCATTTGTTATAAGAAGTAGGCTGTATACTCATATACATACATGTATTGAGCATTGTATTCATTTAAAATGTTATTTGAAACTAAAAATATTACTTACAAGTTACTACTAAAAAATCATATCATGCAAACCTCGTGCTGGCGATTTTTACTGGAAACATTTGCAACAACTTCCAATACCATATCAACTTGAAGTAAGTTTTACTATTTAGTCTATTAATATTTTCTCTCAATAAACAAAAATTTGACATTTTTCTGTACTATACACAATCCTTTTTTATTTTTATGATATTCATAAAAACAAACTGCAAAAGGCAAAACTTGAAATATTGTGACCCATCTTTTAAAAACAATCATTTTTTTTTTCCAACCACAGTAATTATGAAACACTTGTGAGTGGAAGAAATCAGTCCAAAATAGAAATGTTTTTATGACCTTGTTGCATAGAATTTTAATAAAAAATAAACATTCAAAAGAAATTGTTAATTGGAAAGTTATGGTGAATAGATGATAAAATTGGTATCATACATTGTTCTCATTATTTTCACAGAAAAAAAAACAAAACAAAACATTGTAGGTATGAATTCTCTTCTGATGTTCATTTTTGGCTGATAAGAGAGATTTTCTTGTATAAAATGATTCTGAGTTTGTTTTATCCCTATGATCTTGTTCCTTGTATATTCTGCTTAGCCAGAGTAAATGAATTTCATTAACTGATGCATGAATTGAATTTACAGCCGCAAAGTGGCTATAGTGCTTTTTAACCAATTACACCACTGCTGAAAAGAACATTAGATGGTGTAGTTTTAGTCTTAAATGCAATGTCAGTTGAGTTAACATTTTATTATCACAGCGTGTTTGGACCACACTGATAATTATTTTGTTTTCAAGATGAGGAATTGTTATTATACATTGGTTTATTTGAACTATTGTTCCCATCTTTACAAAAAAGAAAATGGAATAAAATTGGTCTAACTCTTAGATATATGTGTGTGTTTTAAGAAATATACAACACTCATAGCATATTTTATATGAAAATTTATAACTTTGAAAATATATTATGACTATCAGTCTACTTTTTTTTAATCAGTTGCCAACTGCCACCAGATATACAATCAAAAAATGTGTTCTATTAACAAAGTCAATCACATCTCCTGATATCAATTTGATAGCAAAGAAAAATTTTTAAAAATCATGATTTGATATGTATTAAAATGATAATTATAAATGTATAAAATCATTAAAATAAATTTGTAAAAAATATAGTAAAATGATTTACATTTGATAGAATAATTTTAAATAAAATGCCTAAAATTGAAGACATCATAAAAATCTTATTCAGTATTTAAAATAATGAAAGTGCTGGGAGATAAAATTAGAGAACTATTTAATTATAGTTCATGAACAGTGAACTGAGTACATTGTTTGACATGATTAAAATGAATTGTGATATTTATATGAATAAATAAATTTAAAAGTAAGAAAAACTTTAGGGAAAATATTTACAAAATTATTCTTAAAAAGTTGACAAAAATAATTGAGCAAAAATCTTAAAATTTATCAAAATTCTAACAGCTACTAAAATAAAGATATGCTTTTTTATCAAGAGAATTTTTAAGTATTTCATTATCTTCTGCTCCTTTCAAAACTTTCTGCTCAAAATGTTAAGAAGGTTAATATCTCAGTTGGTAAATCATTCAATCAGTCAGTTATGTGCCATGTGATACACGCTTAGGCAATCATGTATCTTTTGATACGTGACTGACGAGGCAGATTTTTTCCTGCAGTAGGTTGCCATTTCTTTCTGGATGAAACCAGTTGCCATCCAAGGCTATAGAATCTGGTCTGTCCTACTACTTACCCATAACTGGGGGGAGAAGAAGAGGACTAATACCTTTCCCAAAGGTATTAGCACATAAGTGAATGTAATAGATTCGACTGGAATTCGAACTCGGCTCTCTGATTCCTCAATCCAAGCTGCTATCCATAATTCCACTGTGCCTTAGTAGGTGAAGGTACTATATATCGTTAACCCTTATAATAAAAATGGTGCAAAATTATTCATTTATATTTGTTATAATTTGAATTTTATTACTTTGTGTGTGTGTGTATGTGTGAACACAATATAAAGAAGCATTTTATTAAAAAAATGCTATTTTTATCTCAGAGAGAACTTCACCACTTTAAATACTTTGAATTTTTTGATAGGAAGAACAAGACAGACTGTGAAACTGTTGTAGAGTGATTTCACAGTGGAGGTTTGTATTTGTACTAAGTCGGTCCTAAAATAGGTTCAACGTACAAAACGTTAGGAACTTGATATAATAGGTATAACGCAGAATAATCTAGTTGTGGTTGCTGATACTTTAGTATTCAACTCACGGTTGTCCAGCATCGACTGACTGACCGTCTCCCTTGTTACTCTTACTACTCCTACTTATTATAGGTGGGAGAGTCTATTAACTATAGAATAGGTGTGTTCCACTATAACAGAAACTATGATTTTACTTGAGCGAATTTCTAAGTGAAAAAGTAGAAAATTAGATTAAGAAGTTTTGATAAAGTGGGTATTATATAGCAAATTGAAATTATAGAATTTTTGGCAAAGTTTAACTTATATATAAAAAAATCCTACACACAAGCCACCAATCTGCCACTGAGTTGCATGCCACTAGTGTTTACCATTTATCTCAGCAATGTTATTACTGGTGGATTGCTAAGGGCCCACTGGTGGCTGCCACAAGAGGACTGCTGCCATTGCCATCGGAGGATTGTCAGTGGGTTACTAGTGGCTTGCATGTAGGAAAGTATGTCAAAAGGATGGTTTTTCTCTTCATACCATTACTATATACGCCTTCAACTCCCTCAGCAATGTGCATCGATTTAAAAAGCTGTATTTAGAATTTTAGTAAAATTCAGAGAACTTAAAACGATTAATTGGTTACTTATTTTAGTGCACCATTTTACTTACAATTATTGCCATACTATGCAAACAATAGTCAGTGCATTATTTAAACAAATTAGCAGTGCCTTTAAGTGCAGTGTAATTTTTGGTATTTTAATAACAAAAATGTTACATACTATTTAATGTATGTACTTGTGTTTAAGCAAACTTCATGCATTGTGTGATACCCTGAATTTTTTTGCATGAATTTTAATACCATCAGACAAAATTTACCTGTGTATAGTGCAACCAGTCAGTGAAAATGCATGATTTTTATCCTCTTCAAAAAATTACCAGTATATAGTGCAACCCCCTCCCCCACATTTTTTGTGTAAAAAAAAACTGTTCATAAAAAATTACACATAAATAATAATGTTGAAATCCTCACAGTATTTAATACTGTTGAAGTTATTGATAGCATTTTTTGTCAAGATTTACAAACTGTATGTTTTGTTCAATTTCACAAACCAATCATTTTTTAAAATTTTCATTAATGTTTTTTGAAAATTTATTGTACTAAGCTATGTACCTTAGTAAAACCAACTGTACTTTGTACCCCTTACCTGTTTGCACTTCTCCCCCAAATGTTGTTTGGATCAGTCAATGTATAGCTATTTTAGAGGGTGGGACGAACAGATGGAGTAACAGAAGTCACAGAATTTTATATATAGATAAATAACTTTTATAATGTTTTGATATTTATTTCTTTATAAAATGGTAAATGATAAACATTGTAGTTGATTCACATATTTTTATTATCTTGTAAATATAAAAGTATTCTGGTAAAAAAAAAAAATAATCTAATCTAATAAATAGTTTTTAATATTTTTGTTGTTCATTCTCAAGAAAAATACAATGTAGAAATTCACTTTCATATATTTGGCTTTTATTAAAATTCTAAACATTTGCTTTTTAAACAATAAACATTGCTGATCGAGTATAAAGTATTAGTGGCACAAGTCCTTTTGATACACCATTTTTTGTTGGGGTACGAAGGTTAAACCATTTTTTTTTTAATAAAGTAACTCAACATAAAATATTTGTATATGTTATTGTGATGTGTTATGATTCATTATCAATTTTAGTGTTTCAATTTATATGAGCAATATAAAAAGATATCAGACATTTCAAATGAATCAATTATTTTCTCAACAACATTTTGAAAATATTGCTATGAAGAAGATTTAGGAAATATGATGATATTAAAAAGGTTAGAAATGATAAATTGAACTCGAACAGGTAAAAAATTCTATATTTGCTGAGTGTTTTGAGTTGAGAGAGGTAACAGTCTTTAAACCAGTGAGGCCACAAATAAGAAAATAAGAATTTTTACAATGGAAAGGGAGAGCAAATGATTTTATGGTTAATTTTTTTAAAAATAAAATAGATGAATGCTCTGTGGGTTGGAAAGTTCTCACTAAACAGAATTTTTATATAAAAAGTAATTTTTTTTCCAAAGAATTTCAAGTAATAGTTATTCTATCTTTTATGCTGTGGTGTTTTTGATTGGCCTCATGGATGATTGGCACTTTAGTTCTACTGCTTGCAGACTGAGTGTAGAAAGAAATTTCCTCTGAATGGGGAATTTCAGATACCCACTCTGATGAAGGAAGCATGTTGTGTTGGCTTACAACAGAGGGTGACAAGAATGATGGCTCATTTGATTCCATCTGGATCTGATTCAGCACTGTCAATCAAAAAAAAAAATACTGTTAGCATTTTAATGTTGGAAAGTGATAAGGTATAAAAAATACTTTCCTTTCATTATTCTTCTTAAGTCCTAACAACAACAATGATGAATGCATTTTAAAAAAGTAATTATAAATTTAAATTTCTCTATATAAATATACTTTCTTCAAGAATCAAAAGCAAATGTTTACAGGAAAAAAATGTAATTATTAATACAGCAAGTGGACCAATCCACTTTAGATGTACAGGGTCCATCACATCTAACCTAATCACTATAATTAATAAATTATAGTGAACTGCAGAAAACCACTGCAATAATTGGAGGTAGACATGATTAAAGTAATTATTTAGTTTAATTACATTTATATAAAAATAAATCTATATAGATATATAAGAATCTTCAAGATGCTTAAATTTCTTTTAAATGATATTGTCTATATACATTTTCTAAATAAAGTATTTCAGAGATGTTACACATATTTAGGAAAATATTAATACCAACAAGTTTTGAAAGATGAGGCTATAAATTGTTGTTGTTACTTAGAAATCCCAATGTGAATCTTAGTAATACTTTATTTATGACTTATTGCCAAACAAAGATTCACATTGGGATTTCTAAGAAATGCGCACACAGAGTTCAGTACTCTTGCTTCAAAGGTTGTAATTTTACAAATTTTTTTTTCTGCTAAAAGCAGACACCTCTAAAAATTTGGTAATATACCTTTTACCATGATTTTCAGGTCTTATAAACATACAAAATAAATATGGTTACTTGTAGAAATACAATAGAGATACAACTATATTTATTTTGTGTGTTTATCTTATTGACAAATGCTTGCTGGAAACAAATTGTAAACAATTAGGATTGTCTTGTTGACACTTAATAATCTAACTTTTAAACTGATATATAGTATAATCATAAATATACTCCTGTTTTATATAAAAAAAGGGATTTTAACTGTTTTTAGACTACTAAGCCTTATGTCACTACATAGAAATGTTTGACAAGAATCAATTATGATCATCAATTTATGATAAAATGATATTAAAAAATAAGTAAATTTAAGTAATTTATTACTTTAAATATCTGTTCATAATAGCAATTATTAAACTGCTAAGTTGTAAATAAATATATATCAAAACCAAATTGATGAGATGAGATGTTTAAGGCAATGCAGGATAATGAATAGACACAATTGATTTTATCTAAGTTTGAATTCTATTGTAGATTATTATCGTATTTATTTGCAAAACTCTACATATATGGATGCACACTGTTAAAGCAATCAAGGAGTTTAAAATTATTTTTACTTCATTGTTTTGAATCAATAAGAAGTAATAAAAATGACTTACATGGAAAAGGATTTTCAGGAAGATTTTCATATGTACTTCTAGTTGTTATTCTGTTTATTGTTTTTCTTGTTATGCATGGGTTGTCCACACCTGGTTCAGGATCTGTGGGGTCAGGTATGCTGTCTGTCCACAGCACCCGAGTTGTCTGACAGCCAGTACTTGGGTCATACCCTGATTTGACCACAGCTGACTTTTGCCCTGGAACAGATTTACTGAGACCTTCTTCAGTCTGTGGAATCGAAAGTGGAAAATGATCTTTGGAATTTTCAGAAGTAGTTGAATGATTTTTTGGCTTGGCTTTTGGTTTGATGACATGACCTCCAGGTTGAAAAGTACTAACAGGTGTTGATGTGTGCTCAGGCCCAAACTGATTACCATTTGTCATGGGTTGATTGTTGGGGTAGTGTGCATTTTGATAAACTGATTCATTTTTCTGAGTGGGATGAGATGTTTGTAGGAAAAAGGCTGATGTTTTTATGGGACCTGATTTGGTAGGAGCTGACTCAATGTACCATGCTGCTTTTCCACTCACAGACTCATTGGACTTATTAGTTTGTGTATGGTATCCATATTCTATGGTTTTGTTAGGGTCAGGCCTGACAGTCCTTGATAAAATGGCATTAAATGCAGAAGGGAAACCTTCATCATTGATGGGGATTTGTGGTGTTTTCTCAACAAGTTCTGGAATGCCATAATGAGGGTGATTTGGAGTGATGCCATTACTTTCCAAGTTTCTATTATTAACTTCAAATCCATTCTGGGGAACTTTCCTACTAGGGTGTTTCTTATTTGGGGTATTATGGTTGTTAGTATCCTTTTGTAGAACTGATGGGTCATCCACTGAATGTCGTATATAAGTATTATTTACCAGTGGATTCATCATCAATGTTGGCATATCTGGTTTGCTGCTTAACTCTTTATCATTGCTGGAATTTTCATCATGTAAAGATGCTGTGTGGGCATGAATATTCCTTACTTCTCTATCATTTTCATCTTCCTCTTCATCATTATCACTAGAACTTGAATTCTTTGGAAATTTTTCTTCCCCACAAATCTCTGAACTTGAAGAAAGAGGCTGGTGGTTTTGCTTTTTCAGTGATAAATTTGATGGCATGTTTATTACAGCTTCTGGGACAGTTATGAAATTTGTATTTTCAGATTGGAAGCTATCATCCTGTTTGCTGCCAAGAGTGTTCACATGGTTTGCTGACATCTCTGCTTGGCTTTTTGGTTTCTTGTTTACTATACTATAGGTTACTTCTTGAACTTTTTCACAAGGTTTTCCTTTTTCTGCTGCATCAGAATTAGAAAACTCTCTCTTTTGATCAGAATTCAGAGTATTTATTTCTTTCAAGAGAGCTGCCTTTTGCTTCTTTTGTGCAGTTTCTTTTCGAATAGATAGATGACTGGAATCTTCAGAAGTTAGGTCATTACCTAAAACAAAATTAAAGTTAAATAGTTACATTGTACATGGAAAATACAGATATTAGACAAAGCAATATAAACAATGTGGTATTTTTTTTTCCTTTTCATCAACTTCTGTATATAAGCAGTTGTTAGTCTGTGTCAACCAGAAGCAAGAAAACTGATTAAAAAAATCTTAACAAATAAACAAATATGCATCTTATAGCCCTGGCTACTCTGTACACTTGACCTAGGCAGATACTTTGACCTTTTCATTGTATTCCCTACACACTCTGCAATTTAATTTCATTTAGTTTCATAATTTACCAAATGACTTTTTAGTTCTTTTTGTGTTATGAACCTAGCCATAATACACTTTGTGACCATTTTTATACTTTCATATTTTGTAGCAAATTTAAGCTTATCTTGAGATTTTAGAATTTTGTGAGACCTATGTCTGTTGCTACACTCACTTCATACAAGATGATGACTTCTCACCAAATTCAAGGAGCTGGAGAGAGGAGAAGGAGGAGGAGAAATACAGGTTGTCCTTGAAGGGCATGACGGAGGCAATGTGCCACTTACGTTTTACTTACTATATCAATTGTCCGTAAGCTGCTCAAGCACTCACTATCCTCCACAATGACTATATCCTGCGGGGGCTGGGAATGCTGCACTTGGTGGGTCACAAACTTGCCTCGTGGCTGGCTCTCTTACGCCGTGCATTGACAGGAGATTTGATTATGGCAGGGATTGTTAGGGACGTGTTCACTTTCCTTACTATCAGTCCCCCTATCTTGCGGGTTGAGCACCCTCGTAAACCCTGGGATCAATCAGATTTCCTTTGTGCATAATTATTCCTCAATCCAGTGACCTTTCACGGCCTAAGAGGATCTTCTATCGTTATTTTGTGGAGGGGGCTGCGAAGGATCCTCTGCGTGAGTGGCTCGACTTGTCGTGGAAAGAATTTCGCTCCTTCTGGCCTTGGGTGTCAGCAGTGGATTATCTCAATAACCCTGAGTTTTCACTTACCTGGCGATTGGCTCAGAATCAGCAGCCTCTCAATGACAAGGCCTTCATATGGGGCTTGGCGGTTTTGCCTGACTGTGAACGGTATGGCCTTGGTTTGGAAGAAATGGTTTACACGCCTTCTACCATTGTCCCTGGGTCCGCCACTTATGGGACCATGTCGGCGAGTTGACAGCTCATCTTGCTCCTGAAAAGCTTGTGCTTATGGATCATGCATACATGTGTGACAATGTGTTGCCCCCGTATTCTGAGGTGAAACAAATGGTGATTTGGACGACGTAAACGGAGGAAGTCTTGCGAGGCAACCATCTTTCTCATCAGGATCTGATCTGATTCTTTGAGCATTAGCTCAAAGTGAAGATTAGAAATGATAGAAAATGACTGCATTCGACACTCTTCAGCGAAAGGTGGGTGACTGAGGCTAGCTTGGTTTGTTTGAACGGGGCTAGCCTTGATTTTCTCTTTTAGGTCAACCTACGTCACATAAGGGTGGTTTCCTGTGGAGCCTAACCCTTGGTTAGGTTAGACAAGCTTTTGTGTACCTAGTTAATGTGAGTAAGTGTTGTTCCTGGCTGGTTCCTTGGTTATGATCCAAGTTGAGATTCCCAACCTCCCCAGTTTGTTTTGGCCCCTTTTTCTTTCCCATGTCCATATATATTTTCTCCTTTTCCCACTCCCTTAGTGAGAGAGCTTCTTGATTTTGTCCAATGGGCAGAATAAAGCAGCCTCTCCTTTTTGAGGGTTGGACAGGCCCTACTAACATCAGTTATGTTTCATTCACTTTGTGTTCATGTTTAGTTTGTTATTGGGTTCATCTCTGTTCCCCCTCATTTTTCATTTTTAGAATTGTATATATAGTTTATCATCATTAAATTTTTATGACATGGGGCACGTTTCATAGGTTCACCTTGAGAGGATGTGGTATTATGGTGTATGGAGGATTGATTGGTGACAGACAAGTTCTTATGGTGAATGGGCAAATTGTAATGAGTGAATGGGTCGTGAATTGGATTAGCTAGGTATAAGATAGTGAAGACCAGCTCCAACCCCTCTCCTTTTTTGGCCTTGTGCCATAATTGTATTTTTATATACAATAAATAAACAGGCCGCTGGCCATTGTGGCCAGGGCACTTTTTGTCTGCCAACTAGACATTAGTTTGGATTTCCTATCTATCTTTACTTCTGGTACTCTTGACCTTTACTATTTCCAGCACACTCTTGCCCTCTTCAGCCATGACAGACTCTTATCCGCCAGCAACTTTCAGCATTCCCAGCTATTCTGTGGTACTCTGAAGTAGTAAACTACTTCAGGTTACCACAGACCCTGACTTCTGGTATTCTTGACCTTACTACTTCCTACTACCATGTACTTTTACTTTTGGCTACACCCTGGTCCCAGCTTCTGGCATCACCTTCTTCAACCTAACTCACCTGGTTGATCATTAATGGACCTGCTCACTACAGCCCCAAACTTCTGGCTGCATATAAGTCCCTACTTGTGGCATGTATATCATTCCAGTCTCTAATAACCTATCCTGTAAACTATGATTATAACTCTATGGGAGGTTCACCACTGGACCCCGACCAGTTACAACACAATGCCAGCAACTGACATTGGATTTAACCAGCTACAACACAACATCAGCATCAGACATTAGTTTTGATCAGCGACAGCACAACACCTACAAATAGACATCAGAACTGACCAGCCCCTTCAACACTTTCTCCAGACACTCATGCTAACCTAACCTTCAACAACCCTGGTCTATATTTGTAAATAAATTTTGTATTCATTTTTAATATCCTGTTGTCCATTTTGTTTCACCTGTCAGATTTCATGTCTTTATTTCGAAAATGTTAGTGGGCCTCTTGTGACCTCACACTTATTTGGGCGCTTGGGCCATATAACATCATGCCCCAACTCCAGAGGGTCCACTACAATATTTAAATCAGTTTAAAGAAAAAAGGCAAACACTTCAGAAAAACAAATTTAAAGTTTTTAATTTTAGATTTTGTGAATTGTTACTAAGTCAAAATAATGACAGATTCTTTTTAACTAAGCCCCTATAGAAAATGATAACATTTAATCAATTTTATTCATTTTTGACCAGTTTTTATTTCCTGTAGCAATATGACTAAATTTGAATGATATTTACTCTTTCACATGTGTAGCCTAAACAGTAAGACACTGTCAGAGAGGCTCATAAATATTACAGGATGTGAATTCAAATGTTTTTTAATTCTATGTTGATTACTTAATGGTCAACATTAGTAGGGAAGAAAATCTAGGCAAAAGTTAAAATCCAAACTGATCTTTCAAATTTCTTTGCACAATACCTTGATATAAAATAATATCTAGACAACATTTAAAATAATGGGAGAAATTTATGTATTATTCCTTCTAAACATGAAAGATGTAAGAAAAACAATAATTATGCTGTATTATTTAACAATAATTATGCTGTATTATTTTTAAGCTTTTAGTTTGTTTTGTGGGCCTGTAATAAAGTAACATGAGGCACAGCACATTTACATGGGAAGAAAACAAGAAGAATTCTTTAACCCTCCCCCCCAATATGTTATCAACAAGACAGTTTAATTACCTACTGTCAATAAAAACAATAAAACGGTCAATATGTAGATGAGGTAAGATAACCCCATTAAACTAATTTCTTAATATTTAATTAATATTAAATATAATTTTCTTTCAAAACTAAAAAAAAGTTTAATTTTTTCATGAGTAAGTTTTTTCTAACATTTTTTGTTCTGTGATACTTGATTTTCTCTTCCCTGTTTAGTAAATAAGTTTCTTTACTGCTGTCATATTTTAAAAGTGTTCACAATTTCTTTGAATTTGCCCATTCTAAGTTACTATATTGTATGATTTGTTGTTCTTAGTTGCTGAGGTAGTGATTCCAGTGTCTGTCCAAGTTTGCTGATCATCCATTCTTACTGGATCACTGATTTTAATGGAGTAAATTTTTAGCACAGTGTCTTTTATTATAGCACTTTCTGGTTCTCTCAGATGTTTTAAATTAAGCCACTTAAGCTCTACTTTTTGCCAGTGACATGTGATAGTGTTGTTTTTATTTTCTTGACCAATTAAAAATTCAGCTTTATTAAAAATGATAATAATTTGATTTAAATAAATAATCTCTATAAAACAAGAAAAATAGTCTATAATGACTAAGTAATATTTGCCTTCATGTTTTAGTATATCTGATTCATTCATTTGCCATTTGGTATCACTGTTTGCAGGAATAACTACTGCAAAAAGTATACATTGCAATATGTTCTTGTATGTCTGATGCTGGTCACCATATTGAATTTCTTTGCATATGTTTAAATCCATGAAATTTCACTTTCAGGGTTAAAGTAAAGTTCTATTCCTTCTCATGTTTTTTTCATTTCATTCTTGGTCATTCATTCTGTATTAAACACTTTACTTCTTTTAACACCTCCCTCATGTCAGTTTCTGCAGTACTATAATTTTATTATATTGGATGTTTTAATAGTGTATCCAAAACTGTTAACTGTTTTTCAAGTTCATGTTCTGTTTTGGGGTTAAGAATAATCACTGACAGCATGGAGAAGAACGATTTTAGTGTGAGTAAAACTCCCTTTACAATTTAATATTCCTCTAGGTCTTTGGAATATACCTTTTGCCAGTAACAATTTTGGTTTGTTTCATAAATTCATATATATATATCCAAGGACAGAACCTTAAAATCTGTCCTCCTATAAATGTTAAAGAAAATAGCTTTTTAACAGATCAGTAAAGTAACATAATACAGATCAATTTTATTCTGTCGATACATTCTAAAAACTGTGTTGCATCATTAATGGTACCAATTTCCTATAATGTATTTTTGTTTTTTTAACTTTTTTTTAAGTTTCCCTTTTGCTAGAACACAATTTTGTACTGTGTGTACTGTTGCACCTTGAACATGGTGTTGGGTTCTATTAATTTGCTGATAACTTCTATCTTTCATTTCAGGTAATATTAATTTTCTTTTACAGCCTCGATATTCATGGCCTGTTTTTCCATCATTTGGGCTCAAACTTGCTTGAACATTCTAGCTGTTTATAATGCTTTCTTCTGAGTAAGGTCAGGCATTAAGTGTAGTTTTTTTGAGATTTCTTTGCCAATTGCAAATTTGTTCAGAATTTCTTATTTGCAAATGAACAATGTTCTACTAAGTTGTATAGAAATCTGATGTACATTGTAATTGGTTCTTTGATGAAATTTCATCCACTCATGGATTATATTTCATTAAAGTGTAAAGTACACGTCAAATTTTGTAATAACCATGTCAAAATTTTTCTTCTTAAATTTGCAACAGCTTTATATTTTTCTGATTCAAATATAACAGTGTATTTAACTGCCATTTTCTGGAAACTTGATGCTACTCAATACCATAATGCTTACACATTGGCCATGTTTTAGCAGCCATGAAGTCAAAATTTTCAGCTGATTGAAAAGTAGTTTTAAAGGTTTGCTAAAAAAAATCAACATACCATGATGAAAAAAATGTCCCAAACTTAATAAAAACAAACTTTTATTGTCAAAATCTTTGTTATTATTATTAAAAAGAGAGACCAAAGGATATTTTTATCATTAAACTATATTTTTTGATACTTCAAAATTTTGGTTAAAATTTTTTTCTTGTGTCAGTGTTACTATAGGACGTTTTAGTGCCTTTTTTCCAGGTGAAAAAGAAATTGATTTGGAAATTCTTGCAAAAATCAAGTAATTGTTGGATTTGAATGAAACTGTCACAACTTATTCACAAATGAAATTATTTTACAAAACTCTCTAAACGGCCCACTTATTTAATTTTATGAAATTGAGAAAAATTCATTTTTGTATGGCTTAATCTTTATATTAGTTATATGCAGAACTCCTTGGAGAATTTAAATCACCAATTTCTTCTTTTTTTTTTTTTTTTGTAAAACAGGACACCCAGTTAGAGTAAATTTACTCTGAATCGTAAAATAAAGAATGCAATAAAACTAAGACATTATTTAATTAGAAAAAGATTTTAATTGCTTTTATGAATAGGATATATTATGAGCACTAGTGTCTTAAGAACAAAAATTTTTTCAATGAATAATGAATTTTTACAAGAATTGTTTACATTTTTGTAAAATTTCAATTAGAATAATTTATAGTTTTAAATCTTAAAATTTTGAATTTGTAGCAGTTAGGTAATATGAAGTAAAAACTATATTTACTAATCATACATGGAAAAGCTTACTACAATTAATCAAGTAATTTTATAGATATGTCTTCCATAGAGAAAATTACTTAAATTTCCCAAACATCAAGCTGTCAAAGAACTGTAAGCATTTCGCAAAAACACCCACCTCTGTGTTTATTAATTCTTTTCTGTGATATTTTAAACTAAAAGTAAGTAATCTGTTTCAAATCAGATTGATTAAACTTTAAACCAGCTAATCTTCCTCAAACAAAGTTTCAGAAAGATTTTTTTAATAAAGTGAATTATGTTGTGCTGAAAAAAATTGAAAAAAAGGGCTAAAATCAGCTACTTTTAGCAATTAAAAAAAACTCATTCCAATCAATTTAAATTTGTTTTGAAATACAGCAAAGTATTTTGAGTATTGGGAATATTAAATTTAATCATTTAGCTTAAACTTGAAATTAAAACTAAAATAAAAGTTTCAAGAAAGATTTTTCATTTTTTAAATTTTAGGTATCACGTGTCTTTAGCATTACTCACTGAAAAGACATCTTTTGGGGATTTTTTCCTTTTAAATATATTTTCTTATTTTTCAATCTCTCTTTTCTTTGAATTAATGAATATTTTCTTTTACTGGTGACATGTTTCATTATGTTGACCTGCAATGAAGTATCAAAGAATTTTTAACATTAGGTGAAATATTTGCATGAGAACCAAAAGGAAGAATTCAACAAAAATTATGCTAATCAACATTTTATTACTAATTGTGGTATGAAACAATAAACCAGGGCAATATAAAGATAAGGGAAGGTAACCTCGCCTTTCATATTAAAAAATTAATATTATACAATAAATACTTTAAATCAATTAACTTTCTTTTTTTTTTTTCAAGCAAAATTTTAGTAAAGTTAAAAAGAATGTTCTTTTCTGATAGAAATTTGTAATATTTTTAACAGGATGTCACTTGGTTTATTTTATTCTTCATTCTTAAAAAGCTAAAAGCATGTTTACATTTTTTAGGCATGCTCATGATTTCTGAAATTATATACTATTTTCATTCCCTTTTTTTGTATACTTAAATATGAAAAAAATAATATATGCGACAAGAAATACAGAAGATACAATTACTCTGACTCACACTTTTTACAATCTCTTCTAACACTAAGTAAAATCCTTTTTATGATACCTAATTTCCCATGAAAAATTGTTTTATTTCTAACCTGAAATCCCAATTCTCAGCAGAATATTAAAAAAAATTAGATATATTATAAGAATCTATATATAAAATGAAAGGTGTTTGAAATATGTTTTATAAAATATTTTATATGAAAAATCTTTTTTTAAATAAAATATTTTAAAAGTTTTGCTACTTTTATATTCTGACTATAAAAGTGGATCACCAACAACTTGGAAGGAAATGGGCACCAAATATTTCACCAAAAATGAATCATCTATAGTCATTTCTTGGCAAAAACTGTGCAAGAAAAGGATCAAAACCAAGTTGAAATCCGACAATCTTAAAAACTCAACTTAAATTTTATAAAACTCAATCTTTTTAAATATAACTTCCAGAAAAACTGGAGTTCATCAGTTCACCCACCAAACAAATTTCAACTGCTGAAACCTTTCAGCAGGAGTGTGAGGACACTGGCAAAGAGGAAACATTGGACAACAAGATATCAACTACCTTGAGGAGTAGTTTTGTTAAATGATGAGTTGGCAACACTATCATTTACTACTTAAGGAAAAGTCACAAGACTACCACAATTTTTCATCAATATTTCTCCACTGTTTAACATCAGAAACATTCAAATGAAGTACAATTTCATCAAAGGCAACAGAATTTTCTTCTTTCCAGAAGATATTTCTAGAAAAAAAAACATGAATAGCTTAACAAATTTTGGTTGCTCATCAACTTGTGCACAGAGAACAATTTGTGCAACTTTAAAACTATATCTTCAACAACTGAAACAAGCAGTCAATTTTGAACTTTAAGAGATATTCTGTTTTAAAGAAAACTGTGAAGGACAGTTTGTCAAAAATAAACTATATGAAAACTGTGGAGGGAAAAAGAAAGAAAACTTCTACATTGAATTGAAAAGTGTAAAAATCAAGTAAAAAAGATCTCACCAAATCAGTAATCAACAAACTGAACCGTGATACTTATTTGGTATGACACTCAATAGACAACTGATAATTATTACTGCTAGTTTAAATGAAGTAAAATTGATACATTTTTTATATATAAAGTTAAATGATGGTTTGGATTATCTTCTACTGATGAGATTACTAAATATAAAGGAATTTCTTACCTGTATCTCTGGATGAGGAATGTAAACTTGATCTAGGGCTTTGATATGATTTCTTGTAAGAGTTCTGAGTTTCAGGCCTAGGAGCAGATGGTAATCTTTGTTCTTTTTGTATCTGAGAAGAACCCCTTAGAGATGTTTCTTGGCTCTTTAAATTAGACATCATATCTGGTAAATCCTTGATTTCTGCATATGATGCATTACTATGGCCACTGCTTCGATCAGGTATGCCATACTTACTTTTTGCCAAAGAACTTTTAGGACTTCTTTGTCCATTCTGTATACCACCTGCATAACTTCTCTGAAAGTAAGGGGGCTCTTGCTGGCGAGTGTCAAATGTAACACTGCTTGTTTTACCAAAGCGTCGAGTACTTATTGGTTCTTCATAAACATCTTTGTCTGAAATTGTTTTGACTTCTGCTCTTGAAGGAGGCATTTTTGGATGACTTGATCTTTGATTGTTACCTGAATCTGATCGACTGTGATTATGGTTGCCAGATACTTTCATAGATATCGAACTGAGAAAGGCTGAATGAAAATCTTTAAATTCATTCTCTGTGTAGCCTTTTTTACTTGAGATACTGCTGATACTAGATGGTGTCTTGCTAAGACTTTCTTTGGAGCCAACGACAGACTGACTTGAAACACTGCGTTTTTTGGTAAAAATCCCTGTGTTGTACATATAGCAGAGCACTGTTGCAAAGCCTATCAACAGTAAAATGGCCAGAATAATTCCAACAATTGCTCCAGGTGACAGTTTAGAACCACCAACAACTGGTTCATCCTCATCAGGATCCCCTAAAAAATTTAAAAATTAGTGAGTTATATTTATAATTTGTATGCTTTTTGATTTAACAGTCAAAGATTATTTTGAAAATACACTGACATGCCAAAAGTCATGGGATAAGTGCCTAGGAATGTTTATGACTACCTTCTGTAGGTAAAATTCAGCAACTCAACATGGCAACAATTCCACAAAAGATCAAAAGACCACTGGAGAAGTATTAAGTTATGCTGTCTCAATAGTTATCCATAACTCCCTAATATTGTATGCACAAGATCTTGTGTTAGAATAGATATCTCCATTACATCTTACAAATACTTGAGTGGTCTTATGTCAGGTGAATATAGTGGCCATACCATTCTCAAGTAGACTTCAGAATGTTCCTCGAACCAATCCCAAGCAACTTGCATTATCTGCAATGTAGTTTAAATGAGTCTATTACTACGATGTCACTTGTACAAATCCAGATACCGCTGGTTCAATTCGTCGTTCTTGCTTTCTACACACTTCACAATGTAAATCCGAGTTTTCTTCTGCCGTTTTCACTGCTTCAGCCCTCTTTTATAAGGCTAACATCACGGTCGACCAACGAATCAGTGTTCTTCGTTTTTATTCTCAGTTACCCAGGCAAATAGCCTCCTCCAGTTCGACCAATCAGCACATGACTTGCTATTGGTGGAAGCATGTCAAATTGTACAAAAACCCCTCATTACTGCACATACTGCTAGAATTGCTAGATGGGAGATTAATGCCATGTTCACAGAGCAAACTTGCCGATGTCACATGCCACACATTAAGGTAAGACCCTTATTTTCCTATGCACCAAATGCAAGCCACTCTGGCTCACTTGCTTCCACGGGGCTGTTCACCCCATGTAAGAATAACCTACTGTTGCCAGGGCACATTGAGTTCCTAAATGGGTGCAAATGAATCAGTGTAATGTAACAATTACATGTTTAGACTGACAATCAGACCCAACTGATACCCTACACCATTATGAGACCACCACTAACCAGCATGGTTCCTTGTTGATAACTGGAAAGTATGGTTTCCCTAAATTCAAAACTTAACATCATCCTGAAACAATTGTAAACATGACACAGACAGTAAATGAAGAAAAGAAATATTTCCTAGGAGAGCTAACTGAAAAAAATCTAAATTTAAATATTTGTAAAACAATGGTGAGGTTTAAAATTGACAAAGGAAACATTATCTCAATCCAAACATACAAAAATTTGAGGGAAAACCTTTTTTAAAACAAGTAAATGGCAGCTTCACAAACTCTGGATTAATAGTCCAGGGCACTGGAAAATTTAATACTGCTACAGAAGAAGGTAAGGACAAATATAATTTGGAAATATATGTCATTAAATGTGTAAAGGGGGAAAACTTATTATCTAGGCAAACTGCCATAAAAATGAATTTAGTGAAACACTTACACAACAGTTAACTTCATTTGACTTTGGTGGTTGTATGAACAGAGATCCAGTGAAAATAGTTTGGGTAGATAATTTCTGGAGACGGAATTTGACCCAGTAAGGAATAAGTAAAAGCCTCTCAGGAGTTGACTGTACCTACATATTTAAGTGAACTATGTTGTACAATCAGCATGGTTAGAACTTAGGCAAATTCTTACTGAACTTATCTGAAATAATGCAACCAATAATTAGCACTGACAGTAGCAGTTATGGTACCAGAGAAGCTCTATTTCAAGAAATAGATGGCAATTTAAAAATAATAGCATTTGCCTCATGCACACTCAATAGCACTGATCGGAAATATGCACAAATTAAGAAAGAGTGTTTGTTGTGTATGGGCATGTGAGAAGTTTGATACATATGTTGCAGGATTTGAATTCTTTAAATCATTAATGAACCACAAACTATTTATATCACTAATAAACACATATGATCTGTACAATATCCACTTATGAAGTTAAAGGCTTCTGATGGGTCTGAGAAGATATAACCCAGTAGCAGAACATGTTCCAAGATAAACTATCAAGAAGTCCTTTATCCAACACTGATAGTAATACTAGCAAAAAAGTTGGAGTATACACAGATTGCATGGCAAGAACCAAACCAGCATCAGATAAGAATTTAAATGAAATAAAAATAGCAACTAAATAAGATACAGTATTACAGGAAATAGTACACCTCACATTAAATGGATGGACACATAAAGAAGGAAGAATAAAAGAAGGCATGAGGCCATCTTTTCCAAATCAGAATTAAGTGTCAGTCCATGACAATTTATTATGGTTTCAGGACAGAATTGTCATACCTGTAAAAACGTAAACCAGAGATATTAAGGACACTTTATAATGGTCACTTGGGACTAAACAAATGTTGAGAGAGAGTCAAAGAAACAGTGTGGTGGCCTAGAATGTTTCAGGAGTTGGAGGAGAATCTAAAAAAGTACATGTTTTGTAACATACACTATCCAATAACTAGAAAGGAAAAATTAAAAGTAACACCATTTCCTCAAGGTCCATGGCAAAGAATTGGTACAGATATTTTCACACACCAAAGACACTAATATATTGTTGCAATAGGCTATTTCTCAAGATATATAGAAATAGCAATGATCAACCCAATGACAAGTAATTGTGTTATAGGGAAGTTAAATGATTTTTTTTTCACATTGGGGAATTCCTATTAAACTTGTCAGTGATAACGAGAAACAATTCTCAAGTTATACTTTCAAAGATTTTGCAATCCATAAGATTTAAAAACATAACATCAAGTCTACATTATCCTCAAGCAAATGGAGAAGTGTAAAGTGCTATTAAAATAGCTTAGAGAATTTTGAGATAATCACATTTCAGGCATTAATGGCATACTGAAGTATATCAATCCAAGCCACAGGAGTCAGTCCCACAGAATTAAAGAATGACATTACCTTTACAACCCTAAAATGCTATTACCAAGATGGCTTGATTTCACATGAGTCAAGTAGAGAGACAAACTGGCAAAAACCAGAACGGAAAAGAATTTTAACAGATTCCATGGTGTCATAAATTTACCAACTCAGTGTCAGAATAAAATTATATAAAGAAAAATATTGGAATGCTAAAGGAACTATTAAATCAACTGACATTGACAACAGGTTGTATGTTATGAGAACAAGGCGAAAAAGGAAACATATTTCGTTTTCAGGTTTCGAAAATAGACTTTTGAGAATAAAAACAAGTAATGATCATTACAAGGATTTTCAAGTAAATAATAATACAAGGGAAAATACTGAAAAAACTGGAAACAGACGATGTTTTATTTCACAAAGTGAGTTATCGCCCTTTAATTGCAAACAAAAATTTTGATTCGTGATTTTTTTTTTATTTTGTAATTTTGAAAAACAAAAGTAAAAGTTAAAGTCAACAATATAGAGTTGGACTTGCAGATGGATATGAGTAGTCAAGTTACAATGATCCCAAGAAATTTTTGAGAATGTATAGACAAACTAAAACAACATAAGATACATCTGCAATTACACCAATTCAATGGACTGTTTATAAAAATCTTTGACTATTTTGAAGGATTCTTAAAGTTGAAAAAAAAGATTTCAAGTAATTGTTACATGCTTGTTGGAAATGAACTTCTTAAGAAGATCATACCAATTTGCAACTGGAAAAATCTTTTTTTATTGAAATGTAACCACAGACCATGAGAATTTATATTCATAAGTCACTATTGTATAAGTTCTAAATTAGATGTCAAATAACTAAAATGAATAGATACCTATCTAGTTACATTTACTGATCAAACAGTACATTATTTCATTTAACACAATATTCTACAATTCTCATGATGACATACACTGTGGAATGACAGCTACATGAAAAAGATTAAAGTTAGAAACCTGATGTGAAGGAATATGTTAAAGGATTCCAAGAAGTAAAGAAATAAGAAACTTTACACAAAATAAACTACATTTTTGGCCTAAAGAGTTAGAAATTTGGTGTAAGGATCATATGGAGCATATGTACATCAGCAAGGTATAACTCTTATTAATATTAGCAAACACTTTTCCAGGGTGATCTTTTTGGGTGACTGACAATAAAACAAATTTTATGGGTTATATTTTTTAGAAATGAAAGTACCAAAAATTCTGATGTCTGACAATACACTAGAATTTTGCAGAGAAACTTGGCTGAAAGCTAAAAAAAGTAGGCTATATTCCTGACAAAACACTTTATATCACTCTCAGTCAAACTGAATAGTAGAAAGAATTGTACAAACAGTAAAGATGGGTTTGAAAACATGTTCTTAGCACAATGAGAAAATAGAAGTTTTCTAGTGAGACTGCTTTTAAGCTTTCATACCATACAACATGCTGGTAGACTAGCCCATTACATGAAGGCAAATTAGAGCTTTTTTAAGTATGTTGTATTAAACAAATGAGAGAATATAGTCTAAAAAGAATAAGGAGTCAAATCCAGAAAGGACTACTTTTGTAATATAAAGAGGCCACAATACAGCCATTATAAAAGAAAACAAGAACAGTATAAATCAAATAAGACACCGAGATTAATATGAGAAGGAGAAGGACAAAGAGCTTTCCCTGTTATGAGCTTGTGGAGCCACAATGAAATATAGCTCTATAGAATGAAATAAATAAAAACATTGCTGTGGATGATGAACAGTGTCAAGAGGGTTCTGAAACATCCAACAAAAACATATGAACAGTAAATGGTTATATTTTCATTGGAAACTATCAAGGAAAACAGTATCTAAATATGAGTTTGGGAGAGAATTTGAATATTAAAAAAAAAAAAATGGTCCTGTATCTAAAATTTACTGAAGCTTTTTAAATTATATAAAGAATAAAATTCATATCCAAAGGTAAAAAAAAAATTAATGAAATCTTTTGAAAATACATGTAAAGTATTTTAAGTTTTTATTGTATAATAAAAACAAAGATGCTTACTGTATCCTTTCACTTCTAATGTGAAGTCATTTTCAGAGAATTTTATGTTAGTTGATTGAGTCAATATGATTGTGGCAAAACTTGACTTGGTGTAGATAATGTCTGTGCTTTTAGAACTGGTTCCAATTTGACGCTAAAAAAAAAAATAAAAATAAAAAAATAACCAATAGAAAACGAAGAATATAAAAAAACAGTTTTTTTTAATAAAGAAATCAAATAACAAATATTAATGCACTAAAATTATGAGTATAATCATAAAGTTAAACATTATTTTAATAGCAAAATGAAAGTAATATAGAGGAAAAGTGTGACAATAAATGTTCGCACTAGCCGGAGTAGGGGCGCCCAGGATGATTTGCTTGTTGGGCTGCTGTTTTGTGGAGGAGGGAGTGCATTCTCTGACATTTGTTGTTTTGTGCTACTACTACATGATTTGTCTAGTGGTGGTCAGCATGCTGATTGGACGAGCGGGGGATGTGGATAGAGAGCGACGAGAACGAGGAGATTTTTTTTTTGATTACATCAGCTGTTTTTTTGGGGTGAAGGAGAAAACGGTCTGGGACATTGGCTAGCAGTGCAGCTGGGACCATGGTGACATGGACTATTACGTTGTTTGGTGGACTGTTACAACAGACTATCATTTGAATTGTGATTTGGCTGCAAGAGTTGCGGTTGAGAGACAAATCTATTGCAGACGTTTGTTGCTACTTCAAGTTGACAGTTTTGTTTTTATTTTATTTCTTTTCTTGTTTTGTACTACTACTACAAAAAGTAAATGCTTAAGAAAGTTAGAGCTATTTTATTTTTATCCTAGAGAAAACTCATTGAAAATCTATACATTAGTTTTAATTCACAAAGAAAGAATTGCATATAAAAATGAAATGATTTTAGGTGACAAGAAAAAAATATAGTCAGTGTTGATGTTGATAATTACTTATTTGTTATAAATTATTCATTTAAAAAATAAGTAAAGCATGCAAACTGTTGAATAAATGAATCCCACTCTTATTACTACTGGGAGGTCACTTCCTGAAACATCTGTTCAGCTGAAAGCAAAGTTATAGAAATGGTCCAAAGTTGAACATATTGATACTAATATTGTTAGTAGCAATACATGATTTAGAAAGTTGAAATAATGTGAGTAACAATTAGAGTCTTTGGACTACACTGAAATGGATATGATGCCAGAATTGTGTGTAGAAGAGGTTAAAAAGACTAATGAACACGTTGCCAGTGGCATATCATCAAATTCATGATGACTACAAAATTTTTAGATTACCTTATGAAATTGTTCTCTATGAAGCCTAGTTCAGTTCAAGTTTATGCTTATTTGGTGAACTTCTTTTACAGTAACTGAAATAGCTAGATACAAGTGTCTAATACAAAAGGAGAAGATTTAAGATGTGTGGAGGAGTGACATAACAAAGAAATCTTCTAGAATTGATTGTCTCCCTAGAAATTGTACATGATGCTGTCAGGCATGTTTATTGTTTTCTAATAATGGTGTACAACAACTGGTTGGCTCAAGAAGATATTATCCATGTTTCACCAGTGATTTACAAAGCACTCTGGGTGATCAAAAGATCTTTGGCAGATTCACTCAATATGCAGTGATTTGTACAAAACCTTAGAACACGTAGTTTCTTATAAATCAGCAATGATTGGAAGACCATTGTGGATTAATTATTGATCGATTGATTTGCTTTTAGAGTTTATCAACCCTTTATTTTTTATTGTAAGAATAATTCTTTTTGAGAGTGAATATTGCATTTACATTGTTTTGAAAACAGTGATTTTTCTAGATACAAGCTGGAGGGAAAAGATGTAGTCATACCTTTCCCAAGAGTAGTTGCATGTAAATGCATTTAATGAACTTTACATGAATTCAAATAGGGCACTTCCCAACTTCCCATTCCGAGCTGCTGTCCATTACAACTCCTGTACATTCTAGACCCACTGTGGAAGCTTATTGAAGCATTCATGTCCACATCCACATTTTTTTTGCCCTAGTTGCTACTTTCATTTTAGGAGATAATGTATGTATTGTTACAGTAATGATTTAAATTACAAGGTCAGAAAGAAAGACTGCATTAAGATAAGACCTTTTTTTCTGATCAGTTGCTCTCTTAATTTAAACATCAGCTTAAAGTGAAAATTAGAAATTAGGGAAAAGGTTTTTGATGGAATTTGGCAAATTAAAAGGAGAATGTCATGAGCTTAGGCATTGTAAGAGAAATGTACATCAAGTGGCATCTTGAAAATAAAAGCAAGTAACAATCTTGCCAAACAAGAATGATCTGTAAACTCAACCTAAAAGTTTACAAAGTTTTTTTTCTTGCTGAATGGTCATTGTTTGCTTTATATTCTTTCTTTCCTTTACTCCTTTGTGTTCCTCATTAGATGACAGAAAGCAATGTCTTCTGACAATGGGATAGGCAGTTTTTGTAAAGTTTGCAGTAAAACTCCCCAATTTTTTTTTTTATTGTCCTTCATACTTTACTACTCCAAATTAATTTTTCAACTACTTGTTTTTGGTTTTCTGACATAATTTTAAATTGAGGACTAAAATTAGTAAATAATTTAATTCCTAGAATTTTCAAATTTTCTTCTCTTCATCACTTCCTGAGACACTCATCTGAATACAATAGGGAAAGTTTTTAAATGATTAGTTTTTTCTATGAGAATTGTAGAAGAATGTTGTGTTAAATGAAATAATGCACTGTTGGATGAGTAAATGTGACTAGATCTTTTTACCCATCAAATATTCCTTTTAGATATATGACACATTTCTATTTTAGAACTTAAATCAATATTGGTTTATGCTGTCAAGAAAAGGTGTTCCTCTTTTTCTATACAATTATAATGCTGAGAAAATCCCCATGCAGAATTGACCAAAATGATCAGTTCAATTATGTGAACAATTCTATTTTTTTTCACATTAAAACTGATATTGGCAACAGTAGTTTTGTGTAATTTCAACAGGGAGAATAAACTTGTTTCCAAGGCCACATCTTAAACCACTATGCTATGGCAATGTTCAACAAAAATGCAACAAGCAGAAAACAGTTCAACATAGGTAAATAATTTATATATTACTAGCAGAACTACCTGGCATTGCCCAGTATTTAAAAAGTTAAAAATAAATATATAACAACAATATAACTTCAAATTCATTTATTCAAACACAAAAATACATTTAAACAGTTTTTACATTACAATACTTTTTGGTAGACAATATTCTTTGTCTTTCCTTATGGAGCATAAACAGACAAATTGATTTTACTTCCCACGGGTGAACAACCAACATACAACTGCCCATAAGTGAAACAACATTCTTCTAACTGTAGTCCAGTAGCTGAAAGAGTCTGGCATTGTGCTTTGTTAATAGACATAGCAAAACTTGCACATATTTGTAACTGAAGTCTTCTAAACATGAATGGAATATCTGACCCTGATGGAATAAGGGGAACCCTGAGAATAAAGATATCTTCACCCAGTAAGAACTGATACCTCAATTACATGTGGCATCAACTTCTTACCCACCAGTCTGGTGTCATTACAAAGTCTTGGTGGGTCCAGATTCCATAATAGCATTATAGGCACCCTCCTCTTTAGTTCCAGTCTATGTCAAGGTACTCCGAGAAGTACTAGATAATTCAGAAATTCCATTGAATAATTGCCCACCTGTTCTGGATTTGGAATGATATCCACTGACCAGCAGATATGAGATGTTTCTGGGAGGGACTGCAATAGTTGGTTACTTTGTTCTTTGATACCAGTATCACTCTGTCACATAACAAATCGTGATTTTGTGTAATCATCAGGCCACCTGTGTTGGGTTTTTTCTCAACTATTTATATATATGGGTCAGTGGTGCATTGTGGGTAGTTCATTCTAACAATTATTTTGGCAGGTCCTTCAGCAACTGCACAGAGAACATGGGACAAATAATAAAAATGCAGAACAGGAAAACTATCAAGAAACCACCAGTACAAATTGAAACCACCAGTACAAATTAAACCCACATGTAACTGCAAAATAAAGAATGAATGTCCCTTAAACAGTAATTGCTTACAAAACAACATAATATACCAAGCCATAGTAAAATCACCAGATAATGAAGAAAAAATATATATAGGAGTAACTAAAGGACTGTGGAAACAAAGAAACTATGCACACAAAACATCTTTCACAAATAATAAATATGTGAACAGCACAATGCTTTCTAAGTATATCTGGGAAATTAAAAACAAAATGCAAACCACACCAAAAATATCATGGAAAATAAGAAAAGAACATCAGCCTAGAACAATCAATCCCAAACCTGCAAACTTTGCTGGGGGGGGGGGTAGCTATTATTGCCATCCCAGACCAAAACAAACTACTAAATAAATGATTTGAACTCATCTCAAAATGCAGACATGAAAACAAATTTTTACTACCTTACTTAAAAATCAAAAACTGAAAAAATAAATAAAAATTAGCAAAATAAAAATAAAACAAGCAAAATAAATTAATCCAAGCAAATAATAAACAAATTAACAAACCACTCCCGCCATAACAACTGTTAAAATAAATGAAAAAGAATAAAAATAAAAAAATAAGGCAAAACAAGCAAAAATAATCAATCCAAATACATTAATTAAGTAAAAATAAACAAATTAACAAACCACTCCTGCCAAAATAATTGTTAAAAAAGACTACAACATTTAATCCAAAATTGGACGAAATAATAGTTATAATTACCTTCCTAGACCATAACTGTTATATAAACAATCAGAACTCATCACAAAATTGAAAATTGAGACTGAAAAACTACCCTCCTTCTCATTCCAGCCTTTCACATAGAGCTTGGTAACTCACCTGTGCAAAACACCAACAAGGCAGCTACCAATCACAGTTCCCGTGCCTGCCCACCTCCACTCACTTTGGGAGTGTCAAGTTGACCGACCAACTCATTACACGCCCCCCCCCCCTGATCTTAAGATCACAAAGCTTCTCAGTTCGAGAGATGGTCGCGTCTGTCTGGTGACTGCATCTGCATATATACAACTTGCACACTTGACATATTGGGATAACCACACATGCGCAAACTCGTTTGCTCCGAGGTGGCAGATGTCCCGATTCATCCCGTGTCTCGCTGTCATGATCGCACACCGTGCAACTCGGGGCAGGCCTCTTCTGCCGTCACTCCTTCTGAGCGGGATGAACTCTCATCCGTTGAGCTACCATCCGCCTCTGGACAGCTGGCCACGTTGACGTCCGTAGGTAGAGTACTGATGTTTGAGGTAGAACTCAGTGGATCTGACTTTAAATACACCACTCGTGCACCATCTTCAGAGACACTTTCATCATCTGATGACAGTTTTAACCCTACAACTGGCCGCATGTCTAACATGGCAAGGCACGCCATCAACCCGCACTGACTGCAGGCTGATAATCTCGGTAGCATGCCCCATTCTAAGCTTGTCCGTACACTTGCTGTGTGGGGTCTTAACCCACACCACGTCACCAATTCTGTATTTAGCTTGCACGTCGCTTTCCTTTTTTTTTATTGCGATGTCAATGCCTCACAGCCGTAAGTGATAGGCGTGCACCATGTTAGCCGGTGCTGTTGTAGGCGAAACACCGTCTTTAGGTGTCGCATTATACCAATAGACTGTCTCGGGGATCGAACATCGCTTCCTGGCTGCAATCACTTTTATAGACCATTGGCTCCTTTCTACTAGGCCGTTTCTCGCTGGCACGTAGTCGCGCCGGAACCAAAGCCACACACCACACTTCTTTAAGAACTGCGAGAATTGCTCTGAAGAAAACGCCACACCATTATCTGTCAGTATTTCTGCAGGTGGCCCCCGGTCTAAAAGATGGACTCCAATTGACGTAATATGCTGGCAGTGTCCTGCCAGAGCAGTAGTCGACAAATGGCAAAGCGAGAGGGTCCACAGTCAATAATAGTCAAATAGTGCTGGCTGCCAACATGCGTAACATCTATCCCCAGCCTGTTCCAAACATGGGTAGTACTCAAGTTTCCTTTTTGCCATTGCACCGGTGCCGGATCAATTGACTGGCACGCCTTGCACCTCTGCACTACACCACTCCCGCCAAAATAACAAAATAGACTACAACAATCAATCCAACAATTGGACAAAAATATAGCTTTAATTACCTTCCCAGACCAAAAAAAACTATTAAATAAACGATCAGAGCTCATCTCAAAAAAATTTGTTACTAAAACATTGAAGACCGAAAAGAATAAATAAATATATAAAATAAATAAAATAAATAAACACAAGTAAAATAAATTAATCCAAATGAATAAATAAACCACTTCCGCCAAAATAACTGTTAGAATGGACTATTCACAATATATCATTGACTCATATAGTTGAGAAAAAAACCAACACATGTGGCCTGATGATTGCATCTAGCTTGAAACAGTCTGTTGCCTCTGAGTATTGACTTCAATGTTCACTGTTTATATATAAAGTCATGTTTATCCAGAAACAATGTAAAAATTCTTTTTTTAAATACTGGTTGTTTGCAGATTGCAATAAGCTTTTAGATTTATGATTAGTAAAAATGGTTTTACTTAATAACAGTACATTGAAACTGAATTTTTTAAAATTTAACAACTTTATAAATTGAAAAATTTAACAACTTTATAAATTGAAAAATTAAAAAAACTATTCTTGTAAAAATTCATTTTTCATTGGAAAATTTTTTTCGGCTTCAGACAATATTATCCTTAATCTTAACATATATTCATAAAAGCAATTAAAAGCTTTTCTAATTCAATAATGTCTTAGTTTTATTGGTTTTTGTATTTTAAAATTCAAAGCTGATTTTCGGTAACTGGTCATTTGATTTTAGGGTGTTTGTTTTTGTTATTATTTTTGTTTATGTTTTTTTTATTATGCTTTATCCTTTATTAATTTGTTTTATTTTTTTATCATTTTCTTTAATTTATTAATATATCATTTACTGTTCCCAACAAGACGTGCTTGGTCATTGTACAGACATACAGACATACACAATCATTTATATATGCAACATTTTCACTGGTCCAAAGAAAATTTTACATAGAGTCGCAAAATTTGTTTTATCTTTTCTTTTACTTAACCAGTCAATCTCTTTGAACCCAAAGTTTTCTTTTAACCAAGGCGAGTGAATATATTTCCATCTTTTTTTCACAGCTCGCCTGAATTTGAAAAGAGTGGGTAAAGGTAGTTCTTATTAAAAAGACATGTGTTTGGTTATTGTACAAACATACATAGTTACAAACAAAATCTTTCTTTTATACATATAGATAAAAATAGTGCCGTTTTATGACACTATTTTTATAGCATATAAACTATCAACATAATACAGTATATATATATATATATATATATATATATATATATATATATATATATTTTTATCAACAGTAGGTTTTATTTTTTTTGTTTTTTTCATATCAAAAGTTTTATGAATATTTCAACATCATGAAGTGAAAATCAACTCAGTATTTTCTGATTGCTTTAATAATGCATAAACTGGTGAAACATTTAGAAAAAAGAATAAGTAAAAGGGAGTAATAACCAGAAGATAACTTACCAGAAGATTGAGAGCACCTTGACCATCATAAATCCTAAGCATAAATGTTGAGTCTTTAATTGCAACACTTTTTATGGTTATCTGAAGCCTGTAAGCCCCATCTCTGGAAGTGGTCTCTAAAATGACCTGGCAATATGGTGAACGACTGGTTGGAGGAATGCTTGAACGAGCATTAATAATTACTGGAGTCTCAAATACTTCAATCTTCTGTCCACAAGTTGATAGTTCATCCATGTTTACTATTAATGAAAGCAAGAAAAAAATCATGCTAAAATGTTATCTTTTATCAATTAAAATGTTAAATCAATATCAAGTCAAATCCAGTTTTAAAAATTATGTAACAACTAGATTATATAACTGAATTTATAAGTATTGTCTTTCTCTATATTACATCATATTCTTGACTAATAAACAAACTATGTAATTTATAGTAACTTAACATTTTTATTTTTATTGTTAGAACCTCTAACCTTTAAATTATTTCTTTCAATCTTCTCTAGGTTCTTCATGATCAATATGGAATTTTGGTAGCATGAAATTATAATAAACCATACTTAGAACTTAGAATACTCTATGGATTTATTTGAGAAAAAATTAAAAAACACAGTATTTAATGTAATAAGGTTGGTCCTATGTTTTGATGTGCATTTCATCCAAAAATACTACCACTACCATTTTTATTGTGTAGAAATTTTTTTTTTCCATAAATTATATTCATAATCAAAATTTTATTGATGAAATCCACAGAAAAAACATTTTTTAAAGCTTTTGTGTGAAGTCTTGACATTTGGTTGATGACAGCTTAATGCATATATCAAGTACCTGTTGGGATCAGTGTATTTGCTAATATTATTATAGTTATTGTTAGAATTCCTACCCTTTTGTGATTAGCATAGTTACTAATATTGTTATAGTTATTATTAGATACTTTGTGCTTCCTAACACCAGATATAATATAACCATCACCCATTTGGGTGATTCAACAGCTAATACCTCAATTCATCATTTACCACCACTATTAACTTCATAAACAATTCCTTGTATGATTTGTTTTTAATGACTTCTGTGTTTAGGTTCTGCAATTCTGTATTATATTTGTAGTATATCATGAATATATTTATTTTGATACTTTTTATCATGTTATGATTGGTTTCAAAACAGGGTGTAGTTTAAGGAGAGGAAATGGGTAGCATTTAATACAAATTTATTGTAAGTGATCTGGGATTACAAAGGAAATGTTTGTCGCAGATTATTTCCACATCACAGAGAATAAATCACTAAGTTCAGATTCGAACATCAGGGGCAGAAAGAAATGCTGAAAACTCAAATCGCAGGTACTATGTCACGAATCACAATGCACGCAACCAGTCAGAAAAATAACTCATTCGTCAACAAACGCGGTAGCCAAAATACCCGAATTTTGCTCCCCGATTCAAGAACACCAACTGCTTTTATCAGCCGAGCATTTTTTCCATTCATCGACAGCTGGGAGAGGATGTTCAGTAATTTGCATATCAAAATACTTTTATTGTAAATGTCTCTTGTTGAAAGAAAGAGATTGTAAAAATCATCCACAGAGGTGTATGGTAGAAGAGGGAGGATGAGTTGTGACTTACTGCAGCAGCAGCCTTCAGTGAGTTGTCTTTGGAGATGGGAGGTTGCGTTCCAACCAGCATTGTAAATCCTGGCTGTTATGCCATCCAACTGCCAAAGTTGTCTCTTTGATGGGCTTTTATGTCCTTTTTTTAAGGTCAGATCGGCTCCAATTTTTATTTTGTTTCTTTAGGCAGGAGTGGGTGCTATTGGGTGGAAATTCTGGATTGTATTTTTCTTTGAGTATGTAAGTAAAATGGGAGCTATGTGCAGAGCTGATGCACAGTTAAACGAAATTTTTAGTTTAGTCTTGGGTTCAAAACATTCACATCTGACCTGTGGCAGAAATTTGTGTAACATGATCAGAAGAAGATTTGGCTTTAGGAAGATTATAACAACTAAAAGCAACCAGAATCAACAAGTACATTTCATCGCCTTAGTGCCAAGTAATGTAAATGCTCTATGCAGGTCACTTTCTGCACAATGTTTGCTTTCTGCTCACTAATTAGTTGTTGATAGACAATAAATGTCCCACCAATCAAACACTTGTAAAACTTGCTCAATCCATTTCATCTTGCATAGATTTACACACCAGCTCTGCTCTTTCAATCCATTTAATGACAGGCTGGGTGATGAGCTGTTGAATTTAGAGATCAATTTGAGATCAAACAAAAGTAATTAAGTTTCTTTTACAGAGGCAATCTCAGGAAAAATAGACAAATAAAATCACACAAAAATTAACATGCATTTTTTTCAAAATATGGTCTGAATTATTGCAACCCTCAAAACATTTTAAATACTTTGAATGTTAGAAATTTTAACCTTAAGAATTATCTCAGGAATATCTGAGAATTGTAGCTTTAGACTTTTCAACAAGAATAGTCCAATTTGTACCATAATATCATGAAAAACCAAACACATGTGATAACAAGTTCACTGTTAAATCTTGTTAGCATTTTTTCACTGAAAATAATATCTAATCTAGATTTCTCATTTGAGAAACTTGAGTTATATACAAGTCAAAGAAAAAAATTCGCTGAAATTAATCCAAACAAGGCAGTGGGGTAAAGTTTGTGAAAATATCAATAAAGAGAATATTACTTACATATTCGCTCTGAGAGAATGCAGGGCAGAATGAAAAAACACCAAAATCTGGTTATCCACTCAAGAAATCTTGATTTAATCATTTTTAAGTCTCCACAGCAACTATAAAAATCTTGGTTGGTTACTGCACAAAAAAAAACATTCAAAATGAAAATAATGTTCAAATTTACACAAGTAATGTTGTTCCTCATTTATGATTCATTCACAGTATTATTTTTATTTACTTTCAGTATTTAAAGAAATATTGTAATTCATTATGATTATTCATTAAAGTGAATAATGATAATTAATGAAGTTAGAATTGAATTAAGCAGACCAAGTTGAGATATGTGGTTATTGATAAGTTATTAGGTTGAAAACTGATTGTTTAGTAAGTACACTTTTAAGGCTGGTAGTATCAGCATAAATGTTGAAATTGGTTTCTAGACAAAGATGAAAGAAATTCAATGAACTTAGTGATGCTGAACTTGTGAAGAACTAAACAAATGAGAATACGAACCGATAATAACAAAAGATTTAATATCACTTGTACATAATGTTGAAGAATTCAATGTGAAATTTATAAAAATTTACTTAAATTGGCTTGTAATCAGCTGTTCATATTATGTTGTATGTGTGTGCATGTGCATATTGAAGATTTCACTACATGAAGTATTTGCATTGTAGTCTTGCTGCACTACCCGTGAGTAACTTAAATGTATAATGTGACAATATACTAACCATTGGGTCTATTCTGAGTTCTAATATACAGGATTTGAGAAGGTTTCTGTGGTCATTACTGATGAAATCTGCAAAATCCCATTGTATTTAAAGGTTCAAACAAGCTCCCAGGTGTAAATGGTCTTCAGCAGTATTTTGATTGTATGGAAAATGTTTTTATACCTAATACAAGCAACTGCGACATGATGTTTCAATTGTGTGTTTGTAAAAACTATATTTCTTATTTGATTTCCAGTCTTTGAAGAGTGAAGTTGGTTGCTATAACACTTTCTGAAATTTTGAGACACATTTTCTTTATTCTATGTATTGTAAATATTCAGGGTTAGCATGTTATAATTTAACATATATTTGATGATTTGTTTTAAGATTTGTAAAAGTTTTTTTTTTATTATTAAACTTTTTTCAGCTTATTTTAATTAGCCTCCACAATTTGGTTTTGAGTTTATTTCAACATTTTCACTTGTTTAAATTAACTATTTGTTAGAATTGTCTGTATCATTCTGATATTGACCACTACTTTTACAGGTTGTTTTATTTGTTCTGTTATGATCTTAGTGGAATCATTTTTTTCTTTTGGCATATTATATTGGTAGAACCTCTCCACCTTCATTTTTATACATACTTGTTCTGATTATAAAATAAATAAAATACAAAATGATATTCTTTTTCTTCAAGAGAGAAACTTGTAGCTGTTAGTACTGTTTAAGAAAAGAATTCTGGCTGATTTAATTAACACTATATAAAAACAAAGCATTAGTGTACTATACTTATCTGCCCTTCGCGTTTTTGTTATGGTAATTACCTCCCTTACTAGCATTCTTTAGTTGACGAATTGCTTAGTCAGGAAATATTTCGTTAAATAAAATCCTTGTTAAGGAATACCAGTCTTGTCAGCTCATTTCAAATTTATTTCACAAAACAAATTTCATCAGTATGGATAAACACTTGAAACCAGAATGTTTGGACACCCCTCCTAATACACCATCGTCAAGTAAGAATTTTAACCACTGGTTTCAGAGCTTCTCATCGTTCCTATGCAAAATTATTGACCCTAACATCCATACCAACTTAGATAAATTGTATTTCCTAGGATGTATATGAATACATTGCAGAATATAGTACTTTCGATACTGCTGTTAACCATCTGAAAGAACTGTATGTAAAACCTACAGACAAAGTTTTCGCCCGGTAATTACTTGCCATTTGTGGCCAAAAGGAGGAGGAGGAAAATATTGATGAATATGTGTAAAGACTACAGTTACTAGTGAAAGAATGTAACTTTAAATCTGTTGATGCTGCACAAAACTGTGACGACTGCGTTAGAGATGCATTTATCACCAGTTTACGTTCGAACATTATTCAACAACGGCTACTCAAAAATAAGACACTGCATTTAAATATAGCCATTGACCAAGCTAGAGCACTCTATGCAGCTCAGAAAAATTCAGAAGCATACAGATACCCTCAAACACCAATTGTAGATGCAGTTTCTCGGGAAAAAAGCAGTACCAGTTTCCAGTCAACAGATCCCATTAATACATGTTGTGCAGCCTCGGCTAATACCAAGTCTAGGCGTTTCTTCTGTAGAGGATCTCATCATAATAAAAGCACATGTGCAGCAAGAATTGCTACTTGTTTCAAATGTAAAAAAGTAGGCCATTTCTCAAAAATGTGCCGTTTGAACCCAAAAATAATATCTGCTGCAACATGCTCTCACAGACTTGTGACAATGTTGATGAGATCAAATACTACATCCGCTTCCTTAGGATCCCTAAAAGGATGCTGCATTATACATGTTAGTCAGAAAATACTGTGCCGGTATGGCCCTAATGGATACGGGGAGATCAGGATCCTTTATCTCTCACAGTTATGTGAGGAAACAGAGACTACAAATGAAACCTGCTAAGTATCCATGGTGTCATCATCACTTAATGCCTCTATCAAAGGACAGTGTACAGTGGACTTAAACCTACTAGGTAAGTGGTATCCAAACTTTGCTCAGATATTATTGTTGGCCAAGATTTCATGTCACAACATTCCACTTTTTTTTTGCATTTGGTGGCTCTAAGAAAGATCTTGTAATCTCTCATCCTATCTCCTGTAGCATTAGTGGACAACACCATCTTTATTCTCCAACATTGATCCAGACTGTAAACCTATTACAACTAAATCTAAAAGATTTAGAGAGGGTGACAGGTGTTTCATACAGACTGAGATTAAGAAAATGATCCAGGAGAGTGTAATTGAGAAAAGCACATCCCCTTGGAGGGCTCATGTCTTAATAGTAACAAATGAGTGTCAAAGAAAGAGACTTGTGGTTGATTACAGTAGGAGAATTAAGATTTACCAGATTGGATGATCTGGCTCAAGAAATAGCAAAATATAAAATTTACAGCTCATTGGATCTGAAGACTGAAAATATTTTAATGGGTGTGTATGCCTATGTAGACAATATTGTTGTAGTTGGGAAAAATCAGCAAGAGCATGACGAGAACTTGGAAAAATTTAAAAAGATTGCTACATGGTATAACACCCTCAACAAAAATAAATCTGTTTTCTCTAAAACATCCATTGATTTTCTCAACTACTTACACTTGATGCAGAATGTCTCTGACCTTTAAGAGAACTACCTGTTCCTCAGAACAAAACCTCACTGCACTAAGTGCTTGGATTATTCCCTTATTAGTATCAGTGGATACCCAAGTTCTATAACAAAATTAGACCCTTAATAACAGCTGATTCATTCCTTCTTGATTCAGAATTGGTAAAAACATTTGAAAACTTTAAGGAAGAAATTGAAAAGGCCTTACAATACTCGGTTGATGAAAACATTGCTCTCATAGTAGAAAATATTGTTCTGTAGAAAAGGAGGCTTGTGCAATAGTTGAATCTGTCAAAAAGTGGTCACATTATTTATCAGCATGGCATTTTGTGATAGTCACAGATCAGCAAGCTCTTAATTTCATGTTTGATGGAAGAAGGCATGGAAAGATGAAGAGCAGCAAGGTCGAACGATGGAGAATGGAATTGGGGTGTTATGAGTATGACATTATGTACTGACCAGGAAAACAACAATATCCCAGCTGATACACTCATGCGCCCAGTGCAATGCACTCACCAACGCAGGAAAACTACAAGAAATACACAAAAATTTTTGTCATCCTGGTATAACCAGGTTGGCTCATTTTGTTAAAGTAAGAAATCTTTCATACTCTATTGAAGATGTTAAAAGAGTGTATGCTAGATGAAAACCACACTTCTATACACCAGAAGCAGGATGCCTGGTCAAAGCAACACAACTGATAGAATGACTCAGCATTAAGGAACCCCTTCCTTCAACTTCGAAAAACAGCTACTTACTTATGGTGATAGACGAGTACTTGCGTTTCCCTTTTGCCTTTGCATGAATAAGCACGAATACAGGCTCAATAATACAGTCTAAATCAGATATTTACAGTATTTGGCATTCCCTCTTACATCCATTCAGATAGAGGAACATCATTCGTATCAAGGGAATTACATGAATATCTCACCAATCTTGGAATCACTACTAGCCAGACATTGCCTTTATCACCCTCAAAGAAATGGTCAAAGTGAACGGTATAATGGAATTATCTGGTAACATCTCATTGGCCTTAGCCTCAAGAAATTTTAAAGAATCACAATGGGAAACAGTATTGCCTGAAGTATTTCACTTCATAAGATCTCTCCTTTGTACTGCTAATGTCACACCGCATGAAAGACTCTTTTCATACCAATGGCGAACTCCCAGCGGCCATTCTTTACCGACTTGGTTATCTATGTCAGGTGTTGGAATTTAATTTGAGAACAATATTTTACAAGTTCATGTTCTTGCTATTTTTTCTATCCTCACTCCAACCTCATTTCACTTTCAAAACCAGCTCCCAAAGACTTGATTCTTATCAGAGATAAGAATATATTTTTTAACTAACAAGAGAGCTGGAAAATATAAAAAAGAATTCCACCACCATTATTCTTTCCATGGTGCCATAAAGTCTTGCGGAACCCTCACAGCTTGTTCACTCCAACCTGTTTTCATTACTTTCAAAACCAGCTTGTGTTTTCTGACCAATAGAGGGTCCAGGAAATTTGTACAATGATTTTGGAGGGAAAAATCCCTGATCTTTCTGAGCCGCCCAGATCTCCATAAATTTGGAGAATCTACACCTATTTGGAGTGAGAATTCAGCCCACCATCTGTGAGGTCGATGATAGGGAGCTCCAGTCAACTTCAGAACCACTTTCAACCAAAGAAATTCCTGGAGATACAGTCAGCCCACTACTAAAAACCAATTGAAAGCTGCATCCCTTCACTCCTTCTGTCGTGCCCACTGGACTTCTGTCATCAACCTACAAACTCACTCAAATGCAAGATTCCTATATCTACCAACATTTTCCTATTCTACATGAACTGTGATTGTTTCTAAACCTTAACAAAATTCTACTCGCTTAAAGAACATTCAGAGAAATATTTTAAGCAAGCCTTTTTTCTGTTATGAACATTTTCTCTTTTCCCTTTCTTTCACTGTTGTCTTTATCCCATTACCCTTTTTTTTTTTCTGTATATGTAAAACACTTTCTTCTTTTATTGTTACACACTGAGCAGGAGTTTTTTTCTTTATTCGTATGTGCCTAAAAGAGAGAGTTTATCCACTCTAATCTTGCTGTTTTTTACTCACTTTTTAACCTCAACCCTTGGATGCGCGAAAGCCAGAACAAACTTTCCCGACACAGGACCTGTTCTTTTTGCGTCGCCATGTCCAAGCCAATAAGTATGACCCATTGGTTGATGAAATACTATTACTGGAAGCAAAACCACATGCTCACATAAGATTCACCAATGGACATGAATCTACATTATCTGTAAGTGACTTAGCACCAGCAAGGAATTCATTACAAAGTGGGGAAGCCATAGATGATAACCTCCAGAAAGATTTAGATGATTCTACATCCACTAATGAAAACAATTCAGATGAAAAACTTGAAGTAGATAGTAACTATTTACAAACTATCATTAACCCAGAGATTACAACTTCTTCTCCAAGTGATCTAAAGACTACTTCCCCCTCATGTAATGTCAAGAAATCCTGAGATACCTAGACAATCCCAACAAGAAATTTGTGAGCCAAAGAGATATCAAGAATTGTAAATAAATAAATAAATAAAAAGGAAGGGAGAATGGCCTGCACTTGGTATTTTTGTTATGGTAATTACCTCCCTTACTAGCATTCTTCAGTTGATGAATTGCTTAGTCAGGGAATGTTTTGTTAAATAAAATCCTTGTTAAGGAATACCAGTCTTGTCAGCTCATTTCAGTTATCAATTAAATTGGCCTACATTGGAGTTCAACATAAGGTCATTTGAAGAACTTTGTTCATAATTTTCTACTTTGGAAATCAAGAAAAAGTAAATCCTGCAAAAATAAAGTTTTCAAAAATTGTTAATTTGACTGTGGTGGAAAGAGATAAAAAAAGAAACAATTTCTCACCTTAACCTGAGGAAAGCTAGGGAATATATAAGCAAAAGATTTAGTGTTAAAAAAAAAAAAAAAAGAAAAATACAAGAAAGGTTGAAAATAATATGAAGAATAAAAATAATTATATAATTGTATTCAATTTTCTTTTATGTTGTCCAGTTCACACAGCACTTATTTTTTGGGACACCTCAGACAGTATTTATCTGTACACCCATTCAAATAGAATATCATTCATTGTCATATTTGAAAGGGGAATCCAATGTATAGAGAAGATTGGTGAAAAAAAAAAAACCCTAATCCTCAGCTCCCTGGACACTTTTTGATTAGGAAGCATCAAACATCAGTCTGGCCCTAACTCAACTCCCACTATGAAGGTGCTGACTCTTGCTCAAACTTGGACATTTGCTTCTTTTTGCATCATAACCAAAAGGAAACATTATTATAAGTTAAACAGGAGGAAAAGGTCTATTTGAAAATCAATTTTAAATAATCATATGTATTTGCTACTATAACCAATGTCCAATTGATTGTAACTCTTAAGAAAGGAAATTCAAAACATAAAAGGTGGATTTGTAGTGAGTGCAAAATAATAACTCCCTTTACCCACTGCCTTCAAATTGGGAGGACTGAGGAAAAACAAGGAAAGTAATTTGTGAGCCTATGTGAAATTTTCTTTAAACCAATGAAATCAGCCAGTCAGCCAAAAAAGAAGGAAATAAATTTGTGAGCTTATGCAAAAATCCTAAAATGAGGATAAAATTTAAATTAATCAGAGAAGAGTGTTTGAAGTTATGTGAAAGGCTTCGTCTCAGTTCCTTACGACCAGCGTTGAAGTTCTTACCTGTTATATTATCGACCTCTAACCAGCATGCGGGGCTTCAAAGAACTTTTTTTCAACAATCCAAGAATTCAAGTTTACTTTTGAATGCATGAAAGCCATACCCCTTTGTCGAGAAACAAACTCGCTTACGTTTGTCTCAAACATTTTTTAATATTTTTTGTGTCAGATAATTTAACCTATTGTATGAACATATCCTTTTCATGCCAATAACTATAGACTTTAAGAATTCAAATTTATTTTCCTGCAACAAGTTAAATTGACACTACTTCAAGCATAAATTCGTAACGTCACCATCCATTTGAATCTCCAGCTTTTGGGATTATTGTAAAATTGACTAAAACAAAATTGTCTATCAAAACTTGTACTTTGTTTTATCTTTCACTGATACAAACAATTCATAAGTTTATTCTTAAAGGATGTCATTAGATTTCATTGGAAGAAATGGATTAAGAAAAAAAAAAACAAAAAAAACGTTACTTTAGTAAATAATGATTAAAAAAAAAAAAAAAATACTTTAAAAAATTGATTCGACACTCGGGAGAGATAAATTCTGATATGTTTTTACGAAAAAAAATTGACTATCAATGTTAAAGACATCCAAATAAGTAAACAAAATGTTTCAATTGTTTTTGCTTTGAATAACCTTTTTTTTTTTCTTTTTTAAAAAACAAAAAAACCCGGAAGCAAATCGAAGCAACTGACGAAAATAAGCTCATGGAAAAAAAAATAAAAAAACACGATAGTCATCATATTTTTAATTTAATACAAATTTTGACACGGATGTCGTGCAACTAAAATTTAAGGAAAAAAAAGAACCTTTAAGTTTACTATAAAAACAAAATCTCTTGTCGAACCGAAAGGTCAAGCAATTTAAAAATCAATCAATTTCTTTACTTTATAAAAAAAATTAAACATGGCTACTTACGTATAAACACTTTTAGAGAATAATAATTAATTTTTCTATTAAAAAAATTAATTATTTCACATGGAATTCAACGACAAAAGTAAAAAAACAAACTAAGATTCCATATTTTTAGGTAAGTATTGATAATATCCGCCATTTTCAAGATACTTTAAGTCAGGTGTTTAAAAAAAACTTCGTTGAGAAGGCCAACACCTAAAAGGCTAAACTAAACGATAAAGAACCTCCTTACCTTACCTTAATTAGAAAATATGGAAGGACAGGTAAATCAAATCAAAAGATAACGTTTTTTATTAGCTAACTGTTGCTAGTCATAGTTGCTCCTCCTCGCTTCCGAGAAAAGAATAAAAAGACAAAAAAGGGAAGGTATGATGGTTTAAGTAAGTCTATTCAAGTTATTAAAAAATAAAAATTATGAACATGAAAGTTGATAAAAATACAAAATTGATTTTTATTCTACTTTTCTAAGATAAAATATGAACTTATGTAACTGTAAATTTTAAAATACATTCTATGTGGAAATTGAGATACTGTTTTCTCTTATTTATAATTAGTAAATGTCATATTAATTACACTAATCTTAAAATTTAAATTTATGTCTGCTAAAAAAAAGTCCAAGGTTAAAAAATCCATTTTTGAAACTTCAATTTAAAGCTTAAATTTTAAATAATTGGAAAAAAAAAATATTTATGCTTCAATAGAAATCATTAACAAAAAAAAAAAATTGCTAGATAACTATGTAAAAATTCCTCACCAATTTTACCAATGGAATTTTCAAGAAACTTTTCTTATTCATCAAATGTTGTTGAAAATATTCATCCTTTTAACTGTAATTCATCAAAGAGAAAGACAAATACTTCACTACACAGTGAAAAATGCAAATGCTCAAAGTGAGACAAAATCAAATCTGTTAATGCATCACAAAGTGAGAGAGGGAGATGAAAGAGAAATAAATAAAAATAAATAACAAGAAGACCAAAATTTCACTATTCCTAAAAATAGAGGGATATTAAAAATCACAAGGCAAACAAAGCCATAGTTTGACAAATAAAGCTTTCACAACCAGGATATAAGAATAAATAACAAGGAGACCAAAATTTCCCCATTTTTAAAAATAGTTTGACTAATCAGTCAGAAAAAGGCCAAAAGCAAAAGAGAAGCAAGAAGCCTTTTCAAAGTGGATCTACAGATGTGCATATAACAAGATGGAAACACAAAAATCAAAATGAGTCGATAACTTAATTTTGTCAACTTTCTAAAGCTCTGGTCATTGTAACATACCCAGAAACAAAATATGTCATTTGCACAACCAGCTGGTGAACTTACATGGCTAAACTGTCCCTTGCTAAATTGAAAAGAAACATACCTTCCTTCACCATCTGACCAAGCAGCTACTACATTTGAATATATGCATATGCATATATATTTACTTCCACCTGGACACTTTCTCTCTCTCTCTCTCTAATGTGCCAAGACTTTTACACATGAATACTTGAAACTTCAGCCTTATCCTTCTGTATTATTGTGTTATGTAAATATTTATTGTGTATATATCAACAAGTTGTGTATTTTCCTTTAATCATTACACAAGGCCAATATACACCAAAAACAATGTGTGAAAGAAAGATAGACATCACATAGACATTTCAATGTATCTCAAGAAGAGAAAGGCAGATTCAATGTATCACAATGTGAAATTGAAAAGCTGATGCTCAATATATCACCAGTTAATAAAGGCAGTATATTTTATTCAAGCTATTGTTCTCATCTTGGTTATTATGGATATTATAGACATGTTTCAAACAAGTACCATCTGGCCATCTTCAGATGCCCATTGTTTGGTTATGCGATATCTGTTGATAGTTGTTATTTTGTCCTTGTGATGTCAGTTTTTGTTCATTCCTGTTTATGTTGTTTTGCTAACTAGATCCAAGGATTGAACTCATGACCTTTAGATGACAGCATGTTTAACCTATATTTACTATGCCACCATCTTGAAAGACATCAGTGGTGAATTTTTGGATCCTAAAAAAATATGTGAGATATCACATTGACATTTCAATGTATCTCGAAAAGAGAAAGACAGCACAATGTGGAATTGAAAATATTCAATGTTAGTTTTGGCATTTTGGTTATCATGGCGGGTTTGTATCACTTTTGATACTTTTGTATTCCATTTTTTAGATGAGGAATTGTCAATAATAGATTATCTATAATAATGAAGATGAAAATCATAGTACTAATAAATTATAGTATATTGACAAATTCCTCATCTCAAAATTAAAAAAGGGTAGATAGGGTGTGCAGGATAGTTTTGTTGTGGACTTTTTTAGTAAATATTTAATGGCTCCTGGTACATTTGTCCTGCAAACAATATTGGTGGACTCATGTGAGTCTGGGCAAAAATAAAAGGCAAAACATGGATTTTATACAAACAATACATATATTTAAAAAGAGAAATTACAGTAATGTAATGTTGAAAGGAAAGGAAGAAATATTAAAAACTTAGCTATTAAGAATGTACGTGTTTGTCTGTGTGTGTGGTACATGCATGTGTATAAGAGTTCAGTCGTCAGTCAACCAGGAAAATGAATGTACCTCAGCAAGAATGTCCTTGTTTATGTACTGCAAGATCTTGGAACAAGAGGAAGAAAGAGAAAAGAAATGTTTGTCTTGTTATAGAACTTAAACAACACCACCTAATAACCGTTTGGCAAACCCAAGTTGGGTAAAACACAAGTTCAATACATCACACATTGAGGAGAGACATATCTCAATGCATTATAACAGGAAAGAATTTGATTTTGTTCCCTTGTGATTAATATACCTTTTTTCTCTCTTTACATAGTCATGTTATATTAAGCATCTGGTAGTGAGAGAAAGGAATAACAAGTATTAGATTGAAACAATATTTATTGTTGGTAGAGAATACAGGAATAGCAATCTGGTGTAAGCATGGTGTTGGGAGTTGACCATTTCTTGTGCCGGCCTGGCCAAAGTCACAAGATATGGTTAGTGCATGTTTGGTTGATCAAGGTCATAGTGGTAGGTCATTTCGATGGTTGGTAGACCTGTTGTTTTGAATGGAGGTGGTGGTATCAACTGTGAAGGGAATGCCTTGTAAACGTGTCAAGGTAGGCTGAGGTGATGGGGGTGGAGGAATTCAGATTGAGATGTTCCAAGTTGAAGCTGGATAGCTGAGGTGGTTGGTCAAGCTAGGAAGTGGTAATTGTTATTGAGAGATGGAAACTGGACTCATCTCAAAATTATAGAATGTACCTTTTGTCTGAATTTCTATGACATGTTATTACATTGATTCATTCAGATCAATTTTTTCTCTTTGTTGCTTTTATCTAAATGTTCAAAACATGCTTAATATATAAAGAAAAAGCCTAGAGATATGTGTCAGTGTGGATTTCTACACGGGCTTAAACGATGGCCTCAAAAGTTATCATTACCCACTTCCAGAGCCAGAAGAGGTTTTCGTGCAACTTAGTGGGGTTCGTTCGGATATTTTCAAAAATCGACCTAAGTGATGCGTATCTGCAGATTGAAGTGGACGACGAATGTTCAAAATTACTTACAATAAACACACATCAAGAAATGTCTAAATTCAATTGTTTGGCTTTCAGAATAAAGGTAGCTCCAGCTGTTTTTCAGCAAGTAATGGATATGATACTTAGTGGATTTGACTTTGCAGTTGCTTATCTTATTTTTGCTGAAAAGTGAAAACCCAGAAGAACACAAGAAAAATGTTTTTGAGGTTTTCAGGAGGATTCAGGACTATGAATTCAAGCTGAAAGATGGAAAGTGTGAATTTTTTATGGCTAAAATCAAATATTTGGGACAAATAATTGACAAAAATAGCAGGGGACCAGATCCAGCACGAGCCATTGCTATAAAAGACATGTCTGCTCCTGAAAATGCCAGTTCCTTACAAAGTTTCCTGGGTTTGGCGAGTTATTACAATGTATTTGTGCCAAACATGCATTGTTTGCAAGCACCGTTAAATGAACTATTAAAAAAAGACTCTAAATGCATAGCGTGCCAGGAAACATTTGAAAAAATTAAAGAAATGCTAATGTCAGACTTGTTTTTGACACATTACGATCCAAAAGAATAAATAATTGCAGCAGGCGATGCTAGTGCATACGGAATAGGTGCTTGCATTATGCATAAACTCAAAGACAGCTCGATTAAACCTATTGCACATGCATCCAGGACACTTCTTTCAGCCAAAAAGAATTATTAGGGGATTGAAAAGGAGAGTTTAGGGATTGTATTTTCATAGATTCATTCATGGGAGAAGGTTTACCTTACAAATGGATCACAAACAATTGTTAGCTATTTATAGGTCCAAAAAAGTACTACTGACTCATACAGCTAATAGGTTACAATGATGGGGAACCATTCTATTAAATTACAATTTCAGAATGGAATTTTTGCTATTTAGTAAATTGAGTCATGTAGATGGATTGTTCAGACTTATTTCCAAGAAATAGTGAACTTTTGGAAGACAAAGTCATTGCTTCTCTACAAGTGAAAGTAGAGATAAAAATGTACTATTCAATATGGTGCAGAAACTACCTGTGACTTTGGAAGAAATAAAAGTATAGCGTTGGATGACAATTTTATTGTGGAAATGAAGAAAAAACTAAAAGATAGGAATAAAACAGAATCTGCAGTATATTCAATTTGCAATGACATTCTCATGTACAGCGAAAGAGTGGTAGTACCTTCATCACTACAGAAACAAATCCTGAAATAATTCCATATAGGATACCCTGGTATATCCAGAATGAAAAGCTTAATGAGAAGTTATGTATACTGTTGTAGCATGGATAGAGACATTGAATGTTTGGTAAAGTCATGCAAAGGCTGTGCTTTGGCAGCTAAAGTACCACCAATTAAGTTCAATACATGGCCAGAAACTGACCACCCATGGTCATGTCTGCATACTGACTTTGCTGGTCCACTTAATGGGTCATATTATCTGATTGTTGTAGACAGTT